TGTTAAAAATCCATTCCTGGTCTGTGTGACTCCTTACAGGGAATGGTTGGTGGCAGCTTAGTGAAACTGTGGCATATCCCAGTAGGTCTGGGGTTGTCACAAGGATAAGCGCAAATACAGGCATCTTCTGAATATGATCATTAAACTAATAAAAAGTGGTAAGCTTTTGAGTCCAACAGAATTCTTATCAGTCTGAGTCTTGGGGAACTTGGAAGCTGGGGGTAGGAAAGTCTAAAACTTGTTCTAACTAAATACTGAAGCTTCAGAATCTGTAGTTAAACTAAGTTCCAAGATGGAGACCACAAAGTTAAGGAAGCTTCAATTTCCATCCAGGATGATTTTTAGACTTTTCCTGTCTGTCAGGTTCCTGCCTCTAGCCCAGTTCTAGAATACCCAACCCAAGAGGGCTGGAAAGGTCCTATGCCTCATATTTTAATGGTCCAATAACATTATTGCCCATCTTGATTTTTGAGTTTTTGCTCAATGAGCGCACATAGGGGTTTTCTTTTTTCCTTTTTTTGTCTGGATATAAAGCTTCATAATCACAGACATGTATGTTCCTTTTCCCTGACAGTACTGTACTTACATTGGTTGCTATGGCAGATTTCTATGACTGTGACCTCCCTACACTGAACACAGGGGTGTTCTCCAAGCCACTCAGTGTACACAGAGAGATATTTGCCTTTTTGGTTCAAGGAACATGGCACATGCAATAGGCCTGGGAAAATGTGTAGAGAATCATCTCTTTTGTGACAGATGAGTGTAGGAGAACAAGCTGTACCATTCTTTAACACGACTGTTTTCATTTTGAGTTAATTGTGTCAGGCTTTTTAAATGGGGAGAAATTACATTATGCTAGTGCTTCAGGAACCTGCTTTTTTCTCTCAAACATTTATATGTCTGCAGCAGGAAAATTTAGCCTCTTTGTCCAAGAAAACTATTGATTTAACACTGTAATTTAACTTGAATGCAACCTATTCACTTCATTATCTCATCTGGAGAACTTCAGACACCTTTTCTGGAAAATGTGAATAACAAATACAGTATATGATATTTCAAGACCAATGTGAAAATACAATAAGCCTACACAGAAGCACTAGATTAAAGTTGTTACTGTTACAATTAATACTGTATTGTTGCATTATACTGTGTTGCTATTGTTATTCTATCACTATTGGTTGGTAAGGCTATGCTTTTTGTTTTCCTGCCCTTCAGTTTGCAGAATAACAATATTGCAAATTGACAGCCTTGCATTCTGTACTTCCCCAATATCCTCCATCATCATCATCATCATCATCATCATCATCATCATCATCATCATCATCATCATCATCATCATCATCATAATGGATACTGGGGAAATTTCTGATTTTCTCATACAGAATGAAACAAATGCATGGATGCATTGTATGGAGGACTTTGACACCGTATGCGAAGCTGGAGGGTCCTCTCC